TCAGAATCTTTCTAATAATGATCAGTAAATTCACTTCATTACTATTAATATTAATTGCAAGGATGTGTGCATTAAGGGATCTTGAGAATGCATTGGCATACTAGTAGTGCCTCTGGCATGTTCAATACTAAACCACAGGGAAATACCTCTGATCAGTTTATTCTTTCCTAACGCAACCTGTCTCATATTCAAAAATCTTTCAAATAGTTTAAGTTCAAATTAAGCACTGCTAAGAACAGTTCAACCTTTAAGTTCTCAGAGTTAAATTTCCCTTGTTGTTTTGTTGTTTTGAGTCTTGTAGGTTTTATAGGATCACCATTTCTAAAGTTCCTGCCTTCTTTCTGTAGGCAACTTTCCACTTCTGTTCACGGCTCAGCTTTGTCTCTTTACACTTTCTGCTACATCTTTCAAGGGGCTCCTTTTAAATCTCCCATTTACTTTGTCAGCTTTAGCAAGTGAATCGGGGTCCTCAATGGATGATAAACTGCTTATGGCAAGCTGTATCCATTCCTTAACCAAGACATAATCAGCATATTTGTTAACTCTTCTTTCTAGTCTGGTGTGAGATGCAAAATTTCTCTAATCACTTCTTTGAGCTTTTGTTTAATATGGAGGCAAAATATATCTAAGACAACAATCAAACCTTACATTGAGTGAAACTTGCATTTTGATACAGGTACATATGAACAGTCCTGAGATTCTGGTGGAATTTATAAACTTTACAAAAACAATCTGTAGACAATTGTATATTCAGCATCTTGAAAAGCATGCATATGGAAGTAAGGTAAAGTGTGTGGTATGATGTTAGCTACTGAAAATTAACAGTGCGCCTGCTAATGGTAACCCCATTTGACAAAATAATTGCCTTCTGCATTTGACTTACTGAAGCTTTACAATTTAAAACCCACTTTTATTCTCTTTCGCCATCAATGCACAGAGATACCAGGTGCTGTCATCTAAGAAGGAATAGGTAAAGACTATTGTTCATTAATAATAAAATAATTCATTGAGAATAAAAAGATAATTAAGGGGGTTATAGCTAAACGACTAAAGCTATAAAGTGAAAGATAAAAATAAGCCTTTTTTAGCTTATTAAAAATTCTCATTGAATATGACAAGGATAAAATCCATAGAAAGTAGTGTGTGTAAAACAATAAAAATGAGATAGTGAACAAAGGAATATCTAGGATGTATTTAAGTCCTAAATAAAGCTGCTTAATATTTATTTCAGATTTTTAAAAATCCGTACTTAAAAGCTAAGCTACCTTTTTTCTTCCTGTTAATCTCCACACATGCTGAAAACTCCCACCTTGATTTGGTGTTTTTCTCCCTTTCCCCTGCCAAAAAAGTTAGCAAAACTTGAGGGTTACAGATTTCCTTAAGGCAGTACTTGAGTCTGGTTTGCCTACTTGAAGAATTGATTCTAACGTGAGTCCTCATCAGCCTTGGTGCGCACTTGCTGGCTGCATGCTGGTAGCCCTTGGCCTGTGGAGCTGTAAGGTTGGCTTTCGTAGAGATGTGTCCTGAAGGTGCAGGAACAACCAACATTCACTCTGCTATTTTTCAACTCTGTTGTCTAAAGTCTTCTGTTCTTCCCCCAAAGTTAAGGTGATCACACATTTACCATTCACCTTGTCATCAACTTTTCCTCCCTTCTTCCTTTTCCGTGGGACCTCTCTCTTCCTACCTGGCAATGGGCACAAACTGAAGCGTAAGAGGTTCCAGTTGAACATGAGGAAGAACAACTTTACTTTGAGGGTGACAGAGCCCTGGAACAGGCTGCCCAGGAGGGTTGTGGAGTCTCCTTGCTTTGGAGGTATTCAAAACCCACCCGGACGATGTCCTGCGCAACCTGCTCTAGGTGAACCTGCTTTAGCAGGGGGGTTGGAATAGGTGATCTTCCAAGGTCCCTTTCAACCCATTCTGTGATCCTTTCTAGATTGAAAAGAGTCAGACGTCTTTTGAATATGGTAATTTCATTTGCTCTTCTCAAAAGTAAGATGCGCTGCTGCTGCTATTATCCAGTATGTTTTAGAAGAGTCCTGCACAATGCTGCTGTGCTCTGAACTCAAGGGAACAGTATCAAAATATACCAGGACATTATTAGCAATAAAAATTCAGATTGTTCAGGCACAGAATCCTTTTATTATATTTCAGGGCTCAATATATGATATGTATGTATTGTTGATGATGTGTCAGCTGCTTCTGGGTGGCAGGCAGAAGCAGTTCCCAGGTGCTTGATGGGACCTGTGGGAATGAGCATTTCCATGCTGTAGTTGCGTAAGGTCAAGGCCTGCCCCTGTGGTTCAGCTTGAGTCTCCACACAGGTGACTGGTGTTGATTTAAATAGCAGGAGTGAGATCCCAGGGCCGGTCCTGATTTGGCACAGCCTGGAGCTTGAAGTTGGTGGCTGTGTATGAGGCATGTGGAGGAGCGCCTGCAAGGGCGGGAGGTGTGCAACTGGGACATCATCTGCTGGGTGGGGATGCTGGGGAAGCAATGCTTGCCCAGGGTAAGCCTGGGATCCTCTGGCCTGCCGCCATCCTTAACTTGGGGGAAAAAAAAAAGGTACAGGAAAAATGTCTCTTTCCTCCTTCGTTTAGTGGAGGTTGGTTGACTGGCTTGTTTCTCCATGTTGCTGCTTTCTGTAAGGGCAGAACTGTAGCAATTATTTAGGTTGATGATTAAACTCATTAAACTCAAAGAGAGTTTTATCACTAACCTCAGTGTAGCCAGGTAACCCCATTATCCCCTGCTCTGGGGACCCTGCTAACAGCTCCCCGTGTAACAGGAGACAAGTTCTTATTTTTCAGAGAATATTGTTAGGCATCATCTACTGCTAGTGTGGAACCTGAACAACTTGTCCTACGCTGACAAGCTTACAAACAGTTTACAACCATCTATCAAAACAGTTACGTTGCTTAATTCTTGAATGTGCTTCTTGTCCAGAGAAATGGTCAATAATAATGCACAAGGGAGATAATTTTCAGCAGTATTAGATGGGAACACCTATGTAAAAGAGATGTCTCTTTATGCAAAGATCTTGTGATAAGTTAGATAGCAGCAGCGTTGACACAAATGTGAAGATGAATGTAGAGGAATGGATTAGGTCCAATTACCTCTAATGAAGTTCAGAATATTTTGGTATCTTTCATCCTGGAGTAATTTTTTTATTACGCAGTTAATTTTTTCTGCCTCTTCGTCCACTCATGAAAAGAAGAAACATTAATATCTCTTTATGTTGTTGTACAGACCACTTTCTGATTCTGAACAGATCAACTTTTTAAAGAAAGTGAGGCTATATATTCAGCAGCAGAAGTATGATGAAGCGGTAAGTCTGGTTTTGTTATATGCCTTTTGGAAACTCTTTACAGGTACTTCTATTACATGTAAATATTTAGATTTGTTTCACTTGAAATGAAACTGGAAATAAACTTTTTTCCTTCCTATGATGCACATCTCGCTTATTAACACAAGTAAAATCCCACTATAAGTAGTCTCCAAAATTTTGCATTTTGACATCAATTCTAATGAGTAATGCTGACTTGCTGTATTTCTTCTCATACTTCTTAAACTGTTTGTTACCATTCCATAGTATATGAACACACAGTGTATGTTTTTATTTTCCACTGTAAGAAAGGGTAAATTGAAAGAGAAACTGAGGAATGTAGTTCATGTTCACACTTCTTAGGCTGCTAGTTGCGTGAAAAACAGTATGATGTCTTGCTCCATCATAGATCCTGCTTTGTTTTGTTCTTTCACCTGAACCAGCTGTTCTTGTTTTTAATTTCACATTTCAGTTTGTCAGAGACTGGGAGCCATATGTGGAATCATTCTCTGCTTCCCAGTTCTGGTATCACTTTCCTAAGCGTTTGCTACCACTCGCTGTGTGACAGGGTACTCAATGGGTGCACTTCACCAGTGCTTCTGACATTCACAGAAATAATTTGTAGAGCTAAATGATACAAAGAAGTCTTCAATTTTAACAGATTTGGTTTGGTCACTGACTTTTGTTTTAAAAAGTACATGAAAAAGTTGAATATGTAAGATTACATTTAACCTGCCAGGTGCATGGAAGAATAATTCCATTATATGTTAGGGTTCAGCTCTTCTTTTTCCCTAATATGTTTCTCAGGGCAATAAATTACTATTCTATACACAGGACAGATAAATCTCTTTTATACCTTATGCCTTTTTATTCACCTCATTGTAAATTGGGAATAGCTCAGTTTAAATCAATGAATATATTTTGCTGTAGGAGCAGGTTTTCTCTTTGGTTTCCTAATACTACTACTTGGCTGTCACACATTTACTTACAGGAGACATTTTACACGTAGAACCTGCGAGCTTATGGTGTTGGTTATATATAAATTTTACCCCTTGCTCACCTGAGTGCCCTGTGTGTTCAAGTTCACTCTTGGTCACTAACATACTGGGCTTGGGCCCCTGCCCTGGTTATCCTCAGCTTCCTATATCACAATGTGGAAAGGTGGGTGCAGACTGCTGGGGTATAGACGATTCTTTGCCTCCTCAAATCTGCAGCTCTCTGTATTGAAAATATACATTTGTCATCGTATTCTCAGGAATGACATGATTTTGGGTGAGTTTGGCCATTGGCAGACTTCTGATCTCTTCTGTTGATTGTTGCTGTTAAGTTGCAGCTGGATACCTGGACACACAAAGAAGCATCGTCATGTATGCTCAACTTCTTATACTCTTCCTTACAGATATTTTAATCACCAGAGAATCCTCTGTGACCGTAAATTACACAGCTGAGCTTCCCATCTTTGGGTAAATCACAGGGGTCAGCACAGCTCTGTTTAAGGAATGACACTGACTGGAAAAAATGCTGGTTTTATTATGGTGTTTACCCAGTGGAGGTACTGGCTAAGGGGACCTGTGATTAGGCTGGGTACAACCCTTCTTGTGTCCATATGATTTGGATTCTGAGAGCCCCAAGCAGCTGCTTTGTTCAGTCTCTGAGTTCATCTCTGGTGCTTAGGCAAAGCACTGGGGGTATCGGGTTCTACTGAAGTGGAGGACATCAAACCCCAGGAAGGAGGTATTTCAGGCTGTGGAGAGTGACAATGTTTCAGCTTCATCTGTAATCCTTTCCTATGTAAATGTTGTGCCTTCCGAAGCATATGATTGGTTTTCATTGGGGGTCACTTATAGTGGAATATATATAAGGCCAAATGCTCATGGGAAAAACTGGTGGCATGCTTGGCAGTAGGTGGTGTTCAGGGTGTGTTATCTGTGCAGCTTTCACCATCTGACCACTGTCATGGCCAGGAGGGATGGTGAAGGAGCCAAGTGATGGTTGACTTTATGTCCAACAGGAGTCCAAAGCAGTGTGTGCTCCAGCAGTTGGTGCTGGCCAAAAAGCTATACCTGAGTGCAGAGAGGACACACGTGCCAAGAGTGGTGGAGCTGCTTGAGCTCCAGTTGCTGTCAGTTAGGTCAGTTTGTGGAGTGGAGCTCCACACTCTACAGAACCCACTGTTCTAAACTGTTGCTTATATGTTTTGTCTGCCTCCAGGTATCTCTGTGCAAAACCCTGATTAACCTTGCTTTGGAAGGCTTGTCTTATTACCATACTTATGATAGATTATTCCTGGGTCTAAGTATTGCAGTGGGTTTTGTGGGCTGGACGACTTACGTGATTTTGGTGATTATCAAGACCCATACCAATTTGACCAAGACTGTCCAGACTAATAATAAGGTAGGTCAGAAACATGCAATGATCTTTTTTTTTTTTTTCCCTATCGGTTTTCAGCATTATATGTATGCTCAGTCTCTCCGTGCAGGAGACAGAATTGCACACCTTCCACTTCTTTTGACGACATGTGGGAACTGGCAAGCTGTGGTATTTTCTAGCTACTGTAATCCTGTGTAGTAATACTGTTTGGTCCATTTATTAGGATCAGTATTCCTAAGCCTGAGTATGCAGTACTGTGCTTTCTCAGTTTCTTCCTTCCTACAGCTGTGCGTTTTGCTACATGCTAATGTAAGTGTAAGCAAACATAGTAATTTAAAACTATTAGAGGGTCTGTCTTTAACCAGAAGTCAATTTTCAGCATTAATTGTAGTAAAGTCAGCACTCTTATGTGGAAGAACACAGACTTCAGGCTTCCATTTTGATTTTTGTTCTTTACTGTAAGGCCAAAAAAAATTAGCATGTAAATTGTTTTATTCCTGTCATCTTTGGCAATGTGAAATCAGTTTTCAGAAGCTGTGCAGTTCAATCATGGTGTTTTTCAAATGTATAACCTGTTTTAATAGAAAGGTGAACTGTGGTTTCACAGTTTGGCTTGCTCTCTTGCTCTTTGCGATTTGCAAGGGTGCAGCGGAAGACATCAAAGATGAAGGAAGCTCTTTTTGACAAGATTATTAAGGTTTGATTTTTCACAAAGTGCAAAATCCTAGGAAATTAATTTACTTTCAGTCATTCATCATGAAAAGAGATACCTCAAAAAGGTGAATGAGCAAAAAGCTAGCGTTTCATTAGAGAAGAATTAAAGCCTCGGAGGGGGGAAATCTCCCAAACGTCAAGAATTTGTTTTGGAATAAAAGGAATTGTTTCATTTGGTAATGTAAATGAGAATGAGCACTCACTTAGCATCTTTACTGCCTTCAATATATTACTCTGGGAAAATTCCTATCGTGCTGTCTTGAGGTTTTTACTACTGGCTGAAATGAGATAGTCTTGGCCTTTAATGAAAATGATCAAACAAAATTGAAATGGAAAATATTCATAAGTGCTGTACTGCATGATTTAGGTTTTCTTTCATCAAATGACTGAGAAGAAATAATCCAAGATGCGTGTTATGTTAGATATGAACAAAATAATTACAATAAATAGACTGAGTATTGGGCATATTAATAACTACATTAAGCAAAAACTTCACATTTTTAGTTGACATCAGATTTTCATTTGGTATATTGATTTTACTTGTTGAAGACAAATTTTATGCTAGTGACACTGGTAGAAAAAAAAAAATAGATTTCTTAGTTCTTTGTCTATAGAATTTTTCTTTCCCCAGTTTTAATAAGAGGCCCTTTTCTGTAGAAGCCTTTTTTAGTGTTGCTAAGTACTTATGGAATCACAGTGTGAGGCTAATGCTTCATATATGGAAGTTATTTAGTTTATAGCTAATATTGGAGCTACTCAAAGAATTTTGCTGAGAAACTAATCTACCATTGACAAATAGTCATTTGTGAAGTACAGCCTTATAAAATCTGAAAGGAGCCTCTGAATAATGAAACTGCATATCTTGTGTATATCATCTTTAAAAGTTTTTGGCTTTTTCCACTGCATATGAAAAAACTTTTTTCCTTTTAGAGTAGTGTGTTTTGCTTAGCAAGAAACCTAACCTTTTAATCTATTTTTAAACATCCATAGAAAATGCAAATCTGGTTGCCATTTTCAATGCATGACCAACTGTATTGGAGACTCTAATATTTATGTGTCTCTGTGGAACAAAATGTTGATTGTATGTGTGTAGTCATTCAATGATAAATTATATTGTCTGCATATCATATCTATACATACTCATTCTGTCTATATGTCAGCAAATGTAAAATTTAAAACTAATAAAATTACATTAGGTCAGCTTTCTATGTGACATGTTTTCTTACTTTAATGGTGCATCTTAGCAGAAATTCTATCTTAAAAACCATTTAGAACTTGCATTTGCTGTCAGTTTAGATCAAGGCAGTTGTATGTCAGTTACAGGGTGAGGACCAGAAAAAATGCTAACCCCGCTATGTGAACTGCTAATTGAATATCTTGTCTTCTTAGTGTATTTAAGTCACGTATCTGTCTACATAACTCATTCAAAGAAACTGACATTCGTGTAGAAGAAAACGGTGTCTTCAGTCATCACATACACCACACGCTAAAGACTGCTCCATCACTAAAGCTGCCTTTGCTATGTCCAGTTGCAATAAATAAAGATAAAACTGTTTATTTAAAATTTGTGCATACTGTCCCCTTACCAGTACTACTTCTGATATCTGAATGTCCCTAAATAAGGAAGAGTAATTTAGTGACTAGGTAAAAGGCAGATGCAGAGTGATTGCTTAAATGCTTCTCTTTGCACAAACAAGAGATTGCTGCTACCTGATGATTAAGGACTAGCCTACCTGTCTGAGATTACCCATCTTAAAAATTTCCTTTCTGTCGTTGATGTTCCCCCTTACAGCTCTCTGAGAATGTGTTTCTTTGAGTACATGGTAGGGAGAATGTTCTAATCTCATATAATATTTTTTATTAAAAAAAAAAAGCACAAAGCTGGCATTCTAGGTTAGGATTAAATATAGTAACCGTTCTAGCTATGCTAGGAACTTTCTAATGCCATGCAACTCTAGTCCTCTGTTGCATCTTGAAATTGTAAGTTCTTTGAGTGAGGCTGTCTCTCCTGCAAAAGGCTGGTCACAAGCCTCCTTTAGTAGCTGTCCCTAGGTCCTGAAGAGCTATTTTTCTTCAGTAGAAGTTAATGCTTTATGTTTTAATTTAATTAGCTCTCTTACAAATGTCTCAAGCAGGAGGAGGAAACATGCTAATGGAATTTTCATTAAATGTTTTAACCATAATGCTATGAACTTGAACTCAAAAGGTTATGCTACAAGTCTGTTTTTAGAATCTAAACTTGAGAGTTCTTTCTTTCCAAGACCCTTAGCATCTCTGACTGCCAATGGATTTCAAGTATCCATTGAACATAAATAACATTGCATACATTTGGCTTCCAGATTGTACAAGTGTGTCTTGCCTGTGCAGATCTTACTGCAGGACCTTATGTAGAGACATATTTAGAATTGGATCTTTAAATCCTACTGCTGGGGGGTTTTTATCTGGCTGGAAACTGCGTCCAGAGTTGTGTACATAGGCAGCTTGAGTGGCTGTGTTAAAACAACATTTGCTTTACTGTGTAACTAACAAATGGAAAATAGTGTGTCATTTGAAAAATTTTATTGCTGTATCAGGAATGTTTGTCCAACTATTTGTTTTTCAGGAGTCTACTGTTCTATTCTACGGTTTTGCCTTTGTTGGAATGATAATAGCTTTTTTCCTGTTGATTCAAACATGTCCTTGGACATACTACGTATACTGTCTCTTGCCAGTACCAGTATGGTATGCGGTTGTGAGAGAGTAAGTAAAGAATACGTTTTATGAAGAATGTTTTATAAAACCAGGTCTGTGCTTCCTTTTTGTTGACATGTAAATTTTTCCCATAAGTTTGGGAGAAAAAGCTAGATATAATTTTATTAAACTTTCTCAAATGCTTCCTGAGACGTTCCAGAGGACTCTGGTTTGTATTTTACTTGACATAGAGTAGTTTCCAAACTGACTGGTACAGCTGCCAATTCTAGAAGATATCTTTTCTATTAGCAAAAATAAATTAATGTCTTTCCAAGACAAAATGTTCTCAGTACTCTTGTAACTGTAGCAAAAGTGTGCAAAAATCTTGGGCAAACACCTGCAGCAGATGACTTCTTTTGTAAAATGGGGCAGGTTGCTCCTTTGCTTCAGTAATTTTGAAATAGTTTGATCCTTCAAAGTGTCAAGTATGCTGAACTCCAGCTGCTTTTGGAGAATATGTTCTAATCATGTTGAGGATAGTGCTCTGATACTGGAATCATAGGATCGTTTAGGTTGGAAAAGACCTTTATGATTATCAAGTCCAACCGTTAACCTAATCCTGCCATCCCACCACTAAACCATGTCCCTAAGCACTTCATATACCTGTCTTTTAAAAACCTCCAGGGATGGGGACTCGATCACTTCCCTGAGCAGCCCATTCCAATGCTTAACAACACTTTAACTGAAAAAAATTTTCCTAATGTCCAACCTAAACCTTCCCTGGCACAACTTCAGGCCACTTCCCCTCATCCTGTTGCCCAATACATAGGAGAAGAGACCAACATTCACCTCACTAGAAAGTTGCGACAGGCAGCTTTAGAGAGAGCAAAAAATCCTCAGTTAGCTTTTCCAGTGTTTTATAAGGCAGCTCATTATCTAACAGTGGTTGGTCTCATTTTCTCTGAATAATACTGAGTTGGTATCTACAGAATTGCCAGTAGATTAGGTAAGTAATAGAAATCAGAAGTTAACAAGTATTTTTGTATTTGGAATAAAAGGACACTCAAACAAAACAAGTTTGTTTCAGGAGAGCTGCCCAGCGGAAAAGGACCTGGGGGTTGACAGCCAGCTGAATATGAGCCAGCAGTTTACCCAGGTGGCCAAGAAGGCCAATGGCATCCTGGTTTATATCAGGAATGGTGTGGCCAGCAGGAGCAGGGAACTGATTGTCCCCCTGTACTCCACACTGGTGAGGCTGCACCTCGAATACTGTGTTCAGTTTTGGGCCCCTCACTACAAGACAGACATTGAGGCCCTGGAACGTGTCCAGAGAAGGTCAACGAAGCTGGTTGGAGGGTCTGGAGCACAAGTCTTATGAGGAGTGGCTGAGGGAACTGGGGTTGTTTAGCTTAGAGAAAAGGAGGCCTTTCTACAACTACCTGAAAGGAGGTTGTAGGGGGGTGGGTTTTGGTCTCTTCTCCCAAGTAACAAGCGATAGGGCAAGAACAAATGGCCTCAAGGTGCACCAAGGGAGGTTTAGATTCGATATTAGGGAATATTTCTCTGACAAAAGGGTTGTCAAGCATTGCAACAGGCTGCCCAGGGAAGTGGTTGAGTCCCCATCCCTAGAGGTATTTAAAAGACATGTAAATGTGGTGCTTAGGGACGTGGTTTAGTGGGGGGCTTGGCAGGCTTGGCAGTGTTAGGTTTATGGTTGCACTTGGTAATCTTAAAGGTCTTTTCCAACCTAAATGATTCTATAGTTCTATGAAAGTTTCGTCAGTTATGATGGATGTTAAGCACAACATAACCAAAAATGTTCATAAACTCAGAGTAGATTTGAATTAAGAATAATCTAAAGGTAGTCCAAGCCTGGTGAAGATGTGCCAGAAATGGGAGGGAAAAAGCTGAAGAGTTTCATTTTATATTTTGTATCAAGTAAAACTGGGCAGAAGGAGCCTTAGGCCATCACCCACTGTGTTTTGAAACAGCAGGCAGGATCAGCAATACACAAAAAGTTTCTTGTGCTCAGACCCTATCCCTGCCCTTCAGAGGTAAAATCCTGTATTATTTCTGGTTTTTTAAAAATAATTGCTATCTTGTTCCATTATTTTGAACAGACTTCCTGTTATTCAAGACCTTGCTGCAAATCTCTTGTCACTTCATATCCATCAGTCTGTAGGATTCCTCGTAGTTTGTACACTGGGAATTGAAATACTAGTAAGTATTTTGTCCATATGTATCAACAGGGTATCTCATTGCTAGCATTCTACCTCTGAGGAATTGTAAATTTTATTAATGTTTGGTTTTTAGTCTTCTGTTGGATTTTTTTATTTATTTATTTATTTATTTTTATTAGGTCTTCAGCTTTTTCTACCGCTCTGCACTTACTATTGGTCTTGTTGTCTTTGCGGGCTGGCCAGTGATCACACAGCTGTGGGTTCAGGCAAAGGTACTGTATTGCTTTGCTTAAAAAGAGCATTTTAAATGGCTAACAGCTGATTGCATCTTAGGATGTTGGGCCTGGTCTCTTCAGAATGCTGCTTTAGATTCTTGTTCAGTTACGCTCTTATTCTGATCTCTGTCATGAGCAGAATGTAGAAAGGCAAGGGAGTTTAATATGAGCTGGATAGATCTCTTAAGCGGTCTTACTACTTATCTTGTTTAAGAACTTCAGTGTAGCTATGAGTTAGCTATCAGTTTTCGGTTGTTAATGATAACTAAATAATGCTTGACTTAAAATCACATGAAGTACACATAATTATCAAATTTCCACAGTGACAAAAGCATTGACGTGCACGATTGGTGAAAGTGCCACCATTTAAGTAGTATGATCATTTATTTAAAAAAAAAATGATGATAACTGGAAAATGCTTGCTAATTCATTATTGTCTGCAGTCAGCTGGCAGGCTTTGTTCCTCAGTGGCAGCTTTCTGTACTGTTTTTCCCAGGAAAAAACTTCACTTGTGTAGATATAGGTGTGAAGTGGTATAGCCTTTAATATAAGAGACATTTCTTCCATTAGTTTATTCAAGCATCTCTTACTTCACAGGATACCTAAAACCTAGAGTTCAGGGGTAACATTAACATTTTCATTAAAACAAAAAAATTGGGATCAAATTGCTAAGTCTTGCTCTGCAAGAACTGTCCAGGGGGAGGCTTGTATTTGTTTATTTGCAATTTTTTTAATTGTATTTGAGTAATCAAGTAACTTGTCTTAAAGCTGGGTATACACAGAAGATGTTTTGTAGCACCAAAAATTTGCTTTCAGGACCTGAGCTTGAAAACTTTAAGTGATACAGCTCTTGATGTCTTTTTTTAGAGTAAAACACCTGGAATGGGATGTTTGGGTTTTTTTTTTTCCTCCTAGCAAAGAGTTTAGAGAACTACTTAGGCAATTATAGTGGTTAAATCAAATGGCATTCAGATTCAAAGACAGGAAAATGTTACCATGTTGCTAGAAATAGGTGATAAGTTAGCTGTTGCAAACTTCTGATGAGATTAGTTTTATTCCTTTCTTCCGTAAGGTTCCATAAGCTTTGTGGTGACTGCAATGTCTGTGAAGGGCCACATTTTGAGCAGGTGCTTTTAAGTATAAACTTAGCTTTAATTCACATTGTCTTTGATAGGATTTTGACAGCTATGTAAATGAGATTCTTTTCTGTATTAAATTGAAGGGCTGTAATACCAATGACTCTGTGCCCTTTATTCGGTTAATTTTATTCTTGATAGATTCAGGGGTGTTTTGAATGTTGGAGATGCTAGTAGCCATTACTAGTTTGATAAGTATTTTTTTCTGATTAGACAATTGTCTGTCCACATGACCTCTAGAAAATCACATTTGTTTTTCTTCTTTTAGAAAACAGCATTGATCTGGACTCTTCTGTGTGTGCTCCTGGCAATATTTCCTTTAATGCCTGTTGTAGGAAGAGAACCAAACATTCCTCTGGTGTAAGAATCTCATGTTGTTCTTTAAACTTTTTTTTTCTCTCTTTGATATTCAAAATTTGGGCTGACTTTTGATATGTGTAAGGAATTGTATTATTGAAAGCTGGCTGAGACAGGTATTGAAATTCAGAATTTAAATAACATGATTATAGAGACCTCAGTTATTCACTAATGTGAATGAGAATAGACTTTTAATTCTTTTGCCACATCCATTTGCTCTTTGCATTTCTTGTTGAAGGAAACATTTCTCACAATACAAAAATTTGCAAATTTTACATGAAAATAAAGGTCATCATTAAAGGAGGAGCTTCACTGGGGTGCAGACATGGTAAATAGCACTGACAGATGTGAATAAGAACATTTATTCAAAGGCAATTTATTTTGACAGCATCTTTCTGAATTGCTCCATCTAATTTTGAATAATCTATCTTTGAATAGCACTCTGTACCTAACGAGATATTCAGGGAAATAGAACAAATAGGATAGGTGAGCTTTCTTCTTCCTTGGTGTCTCCTTTGTCTCTTTTTATCCCCACTTCTGCTTCTCTGTTCTGCATTTTACTTTCGGCTGTTGCTTGTCTGATTTTCTACATTCATTGATTTGCATTTTTTTCTAGTACATCTTTGTCATCTGTCCCTCTCCTCTTGTGAGCTACTCTTTCATCACACAAGCATTCTATCATATCTGGATGCAATACAGGTGGTTGGCCTGAAGACGTTAGGCTTGTGGTATGGTTGTAGTTACTGCAGAGAGAGACATGAATTGACCTGGACTGCAACCACTCCTTCTGCTGTCTGGCAGAAGATACTGCCTCATCAGAGCTGGGGTGCCTGATCCTCAGTAAAATGTGGGATTTGAGCAGTAACATATGATTGCAGATAGAATTATGAGAACAGATATTTCCAAAATTATTGACATTCTGCCTTGATATTTTTCACTGTAATTTAAATCTATCTGTTGAAAACCTCTCTTAGTCTTGATTCTTGAGCACATTAGAAATATTCAGAACAGATTTGTTTTGACTACGTTACAACCTCTCAGCTGTACGTACACATGTATGTATTTCTGCTGGTTCAAACTCAGGTTTTTTTATTCTTTAGAACATTTGAGCGCAGCTTAGATATCAAAATGTAATTAAATTACCTTCATATCTTCTGTCACTTCTTTACATTCACCTTACCCAGACTGTACATCTTCCTATTTATTTTTCTAATGAAACTTCATACCTCTGAAACAGTTTGTGCCTGTCTGAATCTTGTCAAGGGAGTTTTGAATCTGAAAAGACTAGAAGGAACAATTTAAAATATACGTATATGTGACAATTCAGGATATTGAAGATAAGGAGATGCTGGGAAAGAAGATACAGAAGGGAGAAATTAGAGTGCTAGGGAGAAATAGGTGCATTTATTAAATCTGTTCTTGATTTGAGCCCAGGTCAGGGCTTCTTCAGCACATTAATAAAACTTGTATGGTACTAATGGGGAGTTCCTGACTCAACTCAGTCATAAAAAGGAAGCATACAGGAGGTGAAAGCAGGGTCAGATGACCCAGGAGGAACATAAAGACGCTGTCTGAATAGGTTAGGAAAACCAAAGCTCTCCTGGAGTTGAATCTGGTGTGGGATGTAATGTACAATGAGACAGCATGCAGCAGCAAAAGAAAGACTAGGGAAAATGTGGCCCTGCTGCTGACTGGGAGGGGGACCTGGTGATAAAGGACATGGAAAAGGCCGGGACCTTCTTTTGCCTCCATCTTCACTGGTAAGACTGGCCATCAGGTACCTCAGCCTTCAGACTGTTGAGACCTGTGGGCAAGTCTGGAGCAAGGAAAACATAACCTTCGTGGAAGAGGATCAGGTTAGGGAACATTTAAGCAAATTGGACATGCACAAGTCTCTGGGCCCTGATGGGATACACCCAAGAGAGCTGAGGGCCAATGTCACTGTGATAATCTTTGAAGTATTGTGGCAGCAGCTGGTGGGAGAGGTTCCTGAGGACTGGAAAAAAGCAGGTGTCACTGTTGTCTTCAGAAGGGGCAAGACAGAGGATCCAGGGGACTACAGGCCAGTCCGGCTCACCTCAATCCCTGGAAAGGTACTCAAGCATCTAATCCTGGAAGCAAACCATTTCTAAACATAGGAAGGACCAGAAGGTAATTTGGAGTAGTCAGCATGAAGGGGAAATTATGGTGAAGGTAATTATTCCTCTCTACTCAGCCCTGATGAGATGCATCTGAAAGTGCTGTGTCCAGTTCTGGGCTCTCTGGAAAGAGATGTGGACATACTGGACCAGGTCCAGAGAATGGCTGTTAAAATGAGTAAGAGATTAGAGCATCTGTCACAGGAGAGTGAGTGAGAGCTTGGACTGCTTATCCTGGAGGAGAGATTAAGAGAGCTGGAACTGGTTATTCTGGAGAAGACTCAGGAGGGCCTTATCAATGTATATAAATACCCGTCTAGGGGAGAAGAGTAAAGAAGACAGATTCTTTTCAGTGTTCAGTGAAGAGACAAGAAACAGGCAAAAATTCAGGTACAGGAAATTCCATTTAAACATAAGAAAAATGCTGAGGGTGGTCAAGCACTGGAACAGGTTCCCCAGAGAGGTTGTGGAGTCTCCATCAGTGGAAGTGTTCAACACCCAGCTAGATATGGCCCTGAGCAGCCTGCTGTAGTTAGCACTGCTTTGAGTAGGGAGTTGGACTAGACTGATCTCCAGAAATACCTTCCAATGTCCATTGAGTGAGTGAGTAGCCTGCAACTGTGTTCCTGCATTGGTTAGATCATTACTTGAGAATTGCTATTGAGATACGCCTGTGTAGCCTGATTTTACTGAATGTGAGGTATTTGTGCATTTTTGTGTTATGCCTGAGAAAACAGAATGAGTGGAGCAGTCACAAATGGACATTTTTGTCAGTAGTCTCTTAGTGGAGATGCCAAGGGACAAGTGGAAGCGAGGACTGCGTGGTTTGACTACTTCCATATCAAGGTTGTAGCATGAAAGAAAAATACATGGAAAAACTGCTGCTGCCTTTACAGTTCCTCTGCTTGCTTGATGGCTGAAGGGAGACAATCGGAGGCGATATTAGTATTGATCTTCCAGTGAATCATGTCTGTTATTTTGGAATTAGCAGATTTTATCAATAATGCCAAGCAGTACTTTTTTCCCTCTGTTTATGTGATGAGTGACAATCTTCCTGTTGGTCTTCCTGTTGCATTTAGAAAAAGCTGTGTATGTATTTGATAGTAATGGTGGTGTAATTACCCTACTAGATGACAAACCTTGAAAGCACTAACTTCAGATCACCGATGGCTTTTTCTATTTTATTCAAGATATTATTTAGAGATAATCAAAAGTACCTAAAAGTAACGGGTGACAGATCAGACACATGGTCAAAACGGAGATATTTTTTTTTTGCCAATGCCATGAAAAGAGCATAACTGTATTTGTGGATGGCAAGCTAGTATAAACAAAAAAAAAAAACCAAACCCACAAACACCACCACCACCCCCCCAAAAAACCCAACTGGCCACCACAAAAAAAAACCCAACAACCTAAACCACCCTTGTTTCTGGATTGGATTTTGTTTATCTAAAGTTGGATTTTGAAGTTTCCTTAATGTATTAAGCCTTGATACTGTAATGAACGATTTCATCTTAGTGAAGAACACTTCTACGAAAACTTCCTGAATCTTTTGATGATATTTCCTAGATTTTTATTGTTCTTTTGTTTGTTTTTACAGAATAGCTGCTGGTTTGCTGACTCTCTTGTTCTCTTGCTTCTCATTGGCATCTCCTTGTAAAAGTGCAAATAAGTACAGAAATAATGAAGATCTGAAACTACATTTTTATCAGGTCAGTTGCTGAATGTTAGAGGGCTTTTACGTGCAAATTTTTATGTATTTTCTAAGAACATGTTCCTACCAAGGCCACAATTTTCAAGAAGAAAATGATTGTTCACAAGAGTTTTCTCCTTGACTATTTCAAGAGGACCATGTGCTCATAGTAATATGCGTTTTTAAATACTATAATGCTGTGTTACCGAAAGCTCACCCTGTGCATATTTATGAGTATTGATACATAGATGTGCATGCATATTTCGATGCTCTACTCTGAGAGTTTGAGAGTTTGTCCTGCCTTGGTCTGTGTATGTATATTCCCATGACCTTTGCAGGAATTGCACATGCACACTAAGGACAGGCTTGCTGGTTCAGGGGGTTCTTTCCAGTTTCTGGCTCTTTAATAACAATGTGAGACTGATATTGAGCTGGTTTTCTGTTGCTTAAATCTTCTTTCAGATGAAAGATGACTTTTTTTTCCTTATAGCTTCATGAAATAGGTAGATCTTATTATAGTAGGTGCTAATTAAGTTCTAGAGGGCCTTTAAGATTCTAATAATACCTTGTATGTCTGCTGCCTTTTTTTTTTTTAACTTATTACAAGATAATGGTTTTATTTCAGGACCAGCTTTATTGGTTATGACTTACATGCTGGAGTTTCTTACTGAGCTAAGCAATGCATTCACTGTATCAGTGATTTAGGTACGGAGCTCAAATTAGTTAAGAGGAGGAGGATAAAGAATAATGAATGCTTACAGTGCCTTTACCGGAGCACGCACACATGTATAATGTTCTGGTGGTTTATCTTAACTTTTTCAGCTTAACTGTGGAAAAGAGGTATCAGTTCCTTTTCCTAAGCATTTAGGACATATATTTTCAATATGTAGTCAGCAGTGGATTTCTAATGGGAATGCCTGAAAACAAATTGTATGGGACAGGGGAGTGAGAGAGCGGCTGGGTGGGCAGCTGGCCAGCGTCAACTCACCACGCAACTGCTGCAGTGTCTGACATGGTGTAACTTTGTGGAGAAGCTCACAAATGATGCTAATGATGAAATAGATCTGTAGTGAAAAAGTAATGCCAGGCTATTCTTGAGCCAACTTTAGGGAGTCAGGAAATTCACTCACAGAGCCCTGAGATACTTAATTAAGATGAAAATGTTCTGCCTGCTTGTTCAGGGAGTAATGTCTTCGTTTTTCTCCCAACCTTTAAGAAGATCATAAAGCTCCTCAAATTGCTTCTTAATCAGAGGATATTTTACAATAGTGACATCTAATTACTAGTCTCTATTAGATTTTTATTTCAAAAGCTTACTTGGGAATGGAAAACATGGGATCCACCATTCACACTCTGGGTAAGGAACAGATTGGGAGGGGAGATTTTCCCCTCTAAGTCTGAATAAAGGACATTATGGAGGTATTACCTGTTTCTAAATAAATAACTTGGTCTGAGGTTAGGTTGCATTTAGTTGCTTTGAAACGTACAGGCATCCAAAAGGAAAATGTCAGCAGAGTAGTATTTCTAGGCAATCAAATTCCCTTGTTCTTTTTCTTTTGAGTTGGTATTTTCAATGGGGACAGAGGGGAGTAATCTTCAGAAATGCTGGTTTGGAGTATTTTGAACACATGAGTTTTGATTTATGACTTCTACGCGCTTTTAAGGGTGAAATGGATCCTCTAGTCAGATGAAATGTACTTGCAATGACAGAGAGTGATCAGGGTACTGACATTCATACACGTAAGCACACACGATTGGGTTGCTGCTGATCTGGCCAAACTTCTCTGATCAGGATCCCCTGATTTTTTTAATTTTTTTTTTTAAATAATTTTCCTCTTTGTTTTGGTAGAATCTGAGTGCAAGAATCCTCTTTTAAATCTTTCATTTCGTCTCACCTCAAATTTTTGCATCTGCTCATTTGGGATGAGCTGCATTTTCAAGAAATATTATCTTGTTTCTCAAAGGCTCAAGTAGTTCTTATTTGCCTGAGTTGTTCTTCAGAAGTTATTTTGGAATTGCACCTGAATAAAGACACTCCCCTTTTCAGTTCTCTTCCTATTTCAGTCAGAGAAAGAGGGATTCAGCATAGCCTAGGGTTTTTTTGTACTTACGGTGAATTTTTTTTCTCTTCTGAAGACAACTTTCTTCTTTGTTGTCCAAGTGAGTTTCCTTTTCCATCGGGGAATTAGCCTATAGTGACAATATCATGCCTGGTAAGGAGCAAAGCTTATTCCTTTACATGAATTTCTCTCCTTTTGCTCAAAAAGAAACCTGAGTTGGCAGAGATCCTCAGAGTAGGCAAAAACCCCACCAGTTTGCATGTAGTCCTCCACAGAAATTATAATTCCCTCCAGTCCTGAACTATATATTTTTGTGTTGATATCTTCATGGATGGGACAGAGTGTACACCTGAGCAAATGCCTATGAATTACATACTTGCATGGATCTGAGAGGCCATTTACAGACTACTCATTCACTGAGTTTTGTACCTACACACTATAGATTTCCGACATGGGTATTAACCTTAAAGGAACAAAAAGGTTCCAGACAACCAAACCACAATCAAAAAGACTGTACAGCAAAAGTGAATAAATAAATAAATTTTAAAAAGTAAAAATGCAAGCTTAAGTAACTTCATATGGTTACATCTACATTTCTGTTTCAAAAACTTCAGTTATGTTTAGATCTAATTTTGAAGTTTTGATACATGTCAGTGCTTGAGGCAGAAGATACTAATTACACCCTCACAGTTTCTGAAAATTGCCATGAGTTTTCAGGTTTTCTCTTGGTATCATTAAAGCAGGAGTAACATTTTTTTTTTTGCTGAATTTTGTTTGATATGGCAAGGAGATAATTGTCTTTTGGTTAATACTACTTCTGTCTTTTAGCAAGGTGGGTGTCAGTCTCTTTTCCCAAGTAACAGGTGATACAACAAGATGTGAGTTGCACCAGGGGAGGTTTAGATTGGCTATTAGGGAATATTTCTTCACTGAAAGGGTTGTCAAGCACTGGAACAGGCCGCCTAGGAAAGTGGCTGAGTCCTCATCCTTGGAGGTGTTTAAAAGATGGGCAGACTTGGTGGTGCTCAGGGACATGGTTTAGTGGTGGACTTGGCATTGTTAGGTTAACAGTTGGACTCGATGATCTTAAAGGTCTTTTCCAACCTAAATGATTCTGTGATACTGAGCACCTGTGAAACCTAGACAAAAAAGGATGCTGACTGCTAAGTGTATCCTCTGGGGAGGTACCAGGAGGTATCACTTCGTCTGGCAGGGGAATGGCAGCTATTCATATGGTAAAAAGTGATGGATGTGAACACTGTGTAGTTGCTTTGCACTAAAAAAGTCACAACAGCAATTATGTCTTGTAATGCAGTTTTAAAGCACCTGTTTGCAAAGTACCATGCATGCTTGATTTGCCTTTTAGTGGAACTGTAAAGCTTTGAATAAATAGCAGTAATTGAAAACTTGGCTCTAGCATTTGCTTGGATAATTGTCATCTTTCAAAAATTACTGACTCGTGGGATAATTTTCCTAAAGTTTTTTGCACCTACTTGATGACTGAATGGTGTCTCTTGAATTAGTCAAGGAAAAAAAAAACTTCAGCTTCACTGCTTCTCCAAGGCAGAGGGCTCTGCTTGATGTGGTTCAGACAATTTCGACTGAATAGTCTGCTAAGATTGCGGCTTCTTTCCATCTCTTAAAATCCACCTCTCGTCTGCTGTGCTGCTGCTGTCTACTTACAGGAGCTATGCTGCCCAGGCAAAACTCTTGCCTAAACTACCCTTCCCCCTGTACCTGATCCTGCAGCAAAGCCAGAAGTTCTGCTGGTTCTTTGTGGTTGCTGTTTGAGAACAAGTGCTCCTCGAAAAACTGGGGACATGTGTTTTCTGTGGTTTACATGAGTATTTAAGAGTTAACTTTTGACAAAGAGCATATCATGTCAAAATCAGTGGCCCACAGCACTTGTTTAAACTGTTTAAAAATAGTACAAATACATAATAAGAATTAAAAAAGAAAATCTAGAAGAAAATTTTAAAAAGCATAAATTGTAAAAAGCTAGAAATACTTGACACTATGTAACAGACTTCCTGTTCTTATGTTGATTCAGATGAGGTGTTTATGCAACTCTAAAGCATATTTACATATTTAGTACATGATGGCAGAGATCCATACATTAATTATGTCTCTGATTGCCTGATTTCTTCTTTCTAGATGTTGAGTATTGCACTTTCAACATACGTTGTGAGCAGTACCCATGACAGTCTTAAGAACAAACAGGGATTGCCTGTATTGAATCAAATTATTAGCTGGATGACTCTAGGTAAGAACATCTTTCCTCACAAACTTGTATGTTGATAAGTTCATGGGGCTTGGGCTTGGGTGGCGGGCGGTGACACTTTTTTATTAACATCTTACATTTGCACGTATTTCTTTATTTGACTTCTAATAGTTCTTACATGTGTTCACTATTCTTTCCTAAGTGAGGTTTTCTGAGGAATGTGTTAGAAAGTCTTCTAAAATATTACTCCTTTGTAGGTTTGTAATAAAATGCAAACAACTTTGATTTACAAGTAGCTTTATCTTTTTTTTTTTTTTTTTTTTTTTTAATATTCCAAGTATCTTGAAGAACCTCACATAATGGTATAAATTCCCTTTTTGTTTCACTTGGAGCCAGATAAGGGTGATTTGAGGTGTTGTGCAAGCAATCCAGTTAAGCATAGGGAAGTGAGGAAAGCTGGTTGCTGTATTTCAATAGAAACTTGAAGTTGGGGTATAGAAGTGCTTTTCAGAGCTCTCTTGCAAAATACCTGTGAACTAAAGATGCCAATGCATATTTGATATCTGATAGAATCCAATTATTAAAGAAAAAAAAACAACTTCTAAGTCTATGGATCTTTCACCACTCTAAAATTAAAATATTAGGATGATTGAACAGAGCAAATGTAATTATCACTGGGGTTATGGAATACAGTGAAGCAATACGTTTTGTATTTCAGCTATAAAAAGATTCCTGTGGGGGTCCATTAAAAAATGTTAAGCATTGTTTATCTCTGAGTGCATATCCCATGCAAAGTTTGATAGCAGCTCATTGCTAAAAGTCAAGACCAGGAATTTAAAAATAGTTTAATGGAAGAATTATTACTTTTGTTATCTTGTCACTGGATGTCTTGTACTTTCCTGTACTGGTGGCATTGTTTTAACTTCAGCAGACCTTGTCAGTTTTTAGCAATCCTGCTTCTGTCTGGGCAAATGGATTCGAGATTAATACAAGTGATTGTGGTCACGGTGTGTGTGAGCAACGCTCCCTTTGTAATGTAGCTTTCTTTGGAGCATTTTCCTTCCCATCGTGCTTTCCTAACTCTTCACAGCCTGCTAAGCGAAGTGGGGATCTCTGTGTGGACGAATTCCTTGCAGTTGTAAAGTTGATGAAATCAGTGATACCCTGCTTGACTTTACTGGTGCAGGAATTGAGGGTAAAGGTTATCTTTCTCTCCTGTGTAAAGGTGAGAGAAAAACATTTTTCATCTAAGAGAAGATTTGGGCAGTCAGAGAAATCTAGAAATTATCTTTGCTTTGGGTGATGTTTCTGTGATAAAAATAAAGCTAACTGTCTATACCCAAAAAGTCTACTTGCTGCCATGGTAGTATTGAATATTTTAGCAAAGTCTTTCAGACTGGAAGTAATCATTTTAAGTGAATATGATATACAAGGTAGGAGCTTTATATACTTGCTGAAGTTGCTCTACATAATTAAACACAGAACTAAGCAGGTAAAAAGCTAAGGCATCCAACAACATGCCCTCAGTACTCCTGTTGGAGAGAAATGTCTTGTCACTACCACAACAACTGGCATCTGCCTTGTCACTAGTGACTACCACAAACATGGCACCGTAAGAATTAAGGTACCAAGGTCTAGTGTAGCTTTTCCAAGGTTGGTGGCTTTACAGGTGGTCAAACTCTTCTTCATCTGTTTGCTTAGCTGTGGAAGAATGACACTGTTACTTACTGAACTCTTATTTTGCACCTCTCTGGGTATATATATAACCAGAAACACAGAGTTATCAGTATTTATTTGCAATAATATTGATATGAGTATTATTGTCATGTCAGTATGATAGACTGCTGAAGTTTTTTAGCAAATTGTTCCCTCCTCCCCAGCTATTCATTCTGATCAATATGAAGCCTACCTTGTTTAAAGTTTTAATTTAGGCCTAATTTTTTTTTTTTTTTTTTTTTTTTTAAGAAGGACTGGTTTTTGGAGAACTGGGCAAATGAATTAGTGATGGGTGGGTTACTGCAGGCCTGTGTGTGGCTGGCTTTACCTGTTACACCTTATGGATCATGCAGTATATGTTAACCGCAAGCATAGAAGTAAAACCAGGAGGCATAAAGTTAATTGAGCTGCTTCCCATGTTCTTCAGAACCATCTTATGTTAGCAGATATTTCTAAATGAATGTATATTATGTTTTAAAGTTTTTGTCGCAGAGCAACTTGCCAAATTTTGAGGAATTTGGTGTCAGAACTGTGTGCGGGAGACACATACAGAGAATTGTATAGGTCAGCCAGACATCTGCAGGTCTTTGGTGGTTAATATCTGATGTGTTACATCAGAGATGGAAGGGAAAGGCTAATTATGACCTACCAGCCACTCACCTGTTCTCATCTATGATTGCTTTCAGAGAGTGATACACATCTAATGTGTTGAGTGTCATTCACACAGGCCAGTTGCCATGCTGAATTTCTTTCCAGCCGTTCTGACTTATGGTGGCGTCCCTGGAGTTCCTCCTTGAGTCAGGCCTTCTTTAAGTATAGAAAGCTACAAGTGATGCTGAAAGGCTGGAGCACCCTTGCAATGAAGTCACTTATTCTGTAATTGTAGCAGTGGCCAAGGCTGAAAGCCAGGAGATAAAACGTACTGACCCACAGGTTTTCGAAACAGCCTCATCTCTCTTCCATTGATACGTTTACTATAAATACTAATGTATACTATGGCAATAAGAATGAGCAAACACTTCCCATATATTATAGTCTTATTTCTGTTCCTTAATAGAGTGATTATTAATTATGACTTACTGTCAATGCAGTCTTTGAATGATTCAGTAACGTGAGGGCACTATACCACAGTGAAGAATCACACCAATGTTATTTGTCACACCAATGTTATATTGTCAGCACACTTCTTTATAAACACATACAATATTCATATTAAAAAAAAATCAGGTTTAAAGATTAAATCACAGCAATGCTTTTCCTTCTCCCTTTCCTTGCTACAAGCACTGGCCACTTTTCCTTTGGTTTTCTTCTTCTTTACTCACTCTTCCAATAGACCATTTCCTTTCTTCCCAATTTTGCTCACTTCCTGCAAACTGTTGGGCCCTGTCTTCCCATTCAGAAGTTTCCCAGCTAGGGGCAGAATGGACTCTGCTAACCGGGACTGACTGGGCAGTTGAGCAACAGACTGCTTTAAGGAGTGACATGCAACTCTTAAGATACCACCCCTGCATTAGAGAAATGCATTGCAAGTTGAAGGCAAGAGGCATGAATCATGACAGATAGGTCCCCTGTAGGTCCTTAAATATTACTGTTTTAAAACTTCCAGGTAGAGAAGCTAAGAAGTTGATAGTTTCTGTATCTTCACTACCAGTATTTTCAGTTGCTCCTCAAAATGTGGCAGGTTTCCTAATCTTGTACAGTGGAGCCATGGCTCTGTAACTGCAGCCTTTGAGCTGCCAGAGGTCCTCGGGGCCATGGTGAGTCAAGTTTGACTGTTTTTTGGGGTACTGCTTCAGCATCATCTTAAGGACTCTTAACATCAGTTCATGAGCAGTTATAAAGGCTGTGAGATAGAAAGCCAGGCAATTAAGATTGTTGGGAACTAAAATTACTTTTGATGAGTATTAAGCATTACAAACACTGGGTTTTCTTTAGGATAAGTAACTTCTGAATGTAGAAGGGCATATGTGACCAGTATTGAATTTCTGTACATAAAGTGTCAAGATTTGAAGAATGTTATCTTGTTACTGAGAATGAAACGTTTTGCATGTAGTGACTGATGGATCTCTTTTTATTGCAGTTTCTTCCTTGGTGTTGCCGTTACTGAGCCCCACGTTCCTCTTTCAGCGACTGTTCAGCATATTGCTCTCCCTGATGTCCATCTACCTGCTCCTCAGCACAGGGTACTTTCTTACTCTATTTCAGTTGGTCTTACATATGAAAATCCAGGGCTAAATGTGAAACTGATGAATCTCATGAACATTTCTGTTAAAGGTGGAGCATGTGCTTCCAGCTGTAGTCTCACCATTTATCTCCTCGTTTAGTTTCCTAAATAAAATTTCAGGGGAACTTCCATATTCTTCCTTGTATTACAACCACTGTTTTGTTGGCATTCCTTTCAGTGGCTGGAAGGGTATGCATTCAAACAATCTTGCACCAAAATAAGACAGTCTGGTTTAGTTTATGTCCTTTGTTGTTTTGGAATGTGCTTTTCTGCTCAGAAACAAAAGGAAATAACTTCTCTCCCAGCTGCTCAGCACTGGTGTCTAGTTATGGCTTAAATGAAATGTGACAGGAAACAGCCCTAAAATGAGGGAAAATTTTATTCAGAGGTATTTTCATGGAAGTAATTTTTTCAGAGGCATGCTAGTCCCCATAAAGAGCAGGGCTTGCTTCTCTTTGGATAAAAGAGAACTCCTCAGAGCTTGTAAATGAAGAAAACACTGTGTCAGCCAACCCTTTTTTTTCCCAGACTCAGTAGCTCTTAAGAGCATAATTAATGCAGAATGTAGAAACTGTTCCTTCCACCTCCCCTCCCACTTATCCTCTGGATTTAATTACACTGGAAAATTAAGTGGAATAAAATATCTTGCAGCAGACATTTTGCAATAGCTGCCTCTTGTGGATACTCTCATTTTAGATGAAGCGTCTTTTTTTTTTTTATTTCCTGTCTCCCCTTCCTCCCACTTCCCTGTTAAGTTTTTGATCCTATTCTCACTCCTGTCCACACACACACTCTTACACTCAACCTTCTTAGCCTGTCCTGACTACCGGATAAAGCATGAATGTTGTTCTCTCTGAGGCTGGCAACCTCCCTCTTTGTATTTTGGCCCTGCACCAGACCACTTAAGTGCTCATAGCTCTCTGCTGTCTTCCTACAATGTTGAAATAGACCAACAAATTTTGGAACAATTCTTTAAAACAAAACAAACCCAAAACAACCAATCATAGCAAAAACAAGGCACTAGGTGCCAAAAGTATCCAGTGTTTCTCTCCTCAGTGGCTCTGTTATACCGTGTAATGATAACCCAGTGCATGGCCCAGGTAATCACAGCGCCTCTCTAGGTGCAGCTCTGTGGAAGTATTGAAGCCAGCTGCAGAGCATGGTTGCATACAACCAGTTGTCACTGACTCAGTTGAAGACATTCCATTTTTAGGCAAGTGTAGACCACTGTGAGGATCAAAGGTACTTTTGCTACTGACAACCTAACTGTTGTTGTCTTCATGTTTCACTGTTTGTTGTTCTGATAATTAAAGCAGAAATGACTATCCAAAATTTTTTGTTCCAGTTTGAAATGGCCTTGTAGCTACGCTAGTGGGGAGGCACAACAGAAACAATGCCAAGATTAACTGCAATTATTCTCTTATTTTTAGACAAATAAGTGTGTGTCCAAGGGGAAAAAGTAAAAAGGGAAAAATTTACAGTCTTGTAAGTATTAGTCTCACAGTCAGTGTCAGTATCCTGACACATTTTATCCTGAAAGAAAAAAAAAAACACCTGAGAGGCACCATGGAGTGCAATTGAGATGCAGAGGGCAAGGAGAAACTAATATTATCCAATGACAATCTACATCCTGAAGTTATCTGGGGGTTTTAATCTCTCACATAAGTACACTCATAGTTTGCTGTGTTTGAATGCTGTAGGAGCCAGAAGTACTCCTCTGAGACTGGGGGTGTAGCTTGAACAGAGCTTAGCAGCCTTGGTTAGGCATGACTTGACGCTGCTATTGCGATGGATTGGTATACAGTAAAGAAAAGGACATTTTGCTTCAGTGAAACGTAATGCTCTTTTTGTTATACAGATGCCTCTCTTCTTGGGACTGGACTGAGATCACCAGAATGACTTTGTGTGATTAGGTCCTAAAGAGACAGAGTCTCTAGTTGCTCTCTGGGTTGGGCTGTAGCCTCTCACTTCCAAATAGCTCTCATTACAAAATTTTCCATTTTGCAGAAAATGGGTGCTGAACGTGATTCCTTTTTCCTGTTTCTTTTTAATTTTATTCCAGTTTTATTAAAATTGGCCATGACACAAAGGGTACTCATCCAGTGTCGTGGCAGCCATCAAATGAGAAAATGGGTGCACAACATGACAAAGGAGCCTGTTTCTCCTACTTTTACTATTTGCAGTAGTATGGCTTTAAACTTCAACCAACCAACTGTGGGTACCCCTCAGAAATAAGGAGAGAAGGGGGAGAATGCCACTAGGTCTTTGGTATATCATTTGTGTGAAGAAAAAAGAAAACAATCATGTCAGTATTTGATGTTAAATAGTTAATGACTGCACTTACTATGATTATTATGTTACTCTTCAGGTATGAAGCTCTCTTTCCACTGGTGCTGTCTGGTTTGATGTTTGCATGGATAAACATGGAGCAAGAAGCCCTGCAGCACTATGGTCTTTCATTCAAACCAAAGGTAACAGCTCCAGATTAGTTAATTATCAGCTTTATATTTTTATTTTTTTCCCTCGAGGATATAATAAATATTCTGAGTGGTTTTCATAGAGCCACACTTTGCATTTCTTCAAGTTTGGGAAGCCAGTATCAGCTGTTTCATGAGATAGGAATGCGACCTTTTAAGAGAGATTTATAATTTTTGTTACTGAAGATATTCCACATCAGAGCCATTTCTAGGAATGCAGGAAATCAGTTTGACTTAGTGGTATGTTCTGTAGGCTACAAAGCTCTGTTTGTCAAGTGTAGTGCTAATTCAGCATAAGGTACAGTAACTCTTGAGATTAAGTGCAATGTCACTGTACTTTTTCTTGTTCTGATGGCAGTCACAAGTGAGAGGCTGAAAATAAATAAATTGATTTCTGAAATGACCTATAGGAAATACCAGAAATCTTAGTTTGACTTTGTCGTTCCCCTCTTTCTTCAAGGACGGAGTTTTATTTCTGATTAGACAGATGAAGAGCCAGAGGCTAACCTGGAACCAGCACCTTCTCTGATTTGCCTGGAGAGGGAGTTTTGTAATCAGTGCAGCTTCTTTCAGCTTAAAGTTTAGTATGTTGTCAGCGATTTTCAAAGCCCATGCTGCTTGCACCCCTACTTAGCTTTTAGATAAGGACAAGGGTTTAGCAAACTGTGGCTATGCCATGGATTTGGTTAGATCCGAAGTGCCGGTTGCAGAGTTGACTGCGTGCTCGGAGCCAGGCAGGTGTGCAGCACAGCTGTCCCCCGCTCCTCCCAAATGTACTGTCCTTGGTGCAGGTCACAGAGAACCTGGGGACAGATGCATGGGAGTGGCCAGAGTCACTTGTAATAGAAGTGGCGGTGTGCATCTTTCCTTCCTTTTGCAGCTCATAGTAATTAGGGAGAAGTGCTGGGAGGTGAAATCTGAGCCTAGGCAGTCACCAGAGCGTACCTGACACATACTGTGGTTTTGTGGTTCTCCTGCAAGGGAGAAAGTTTTAAAACAAGAGAGAACAGGCTTTGCCAATTCAAAGCTGAATATTAGAAATTACAATGGGAATTTCTTTATGCTATAGTTATGATATTCTGAGCATGTTTTGTCGCATCCTAAGTGATAGAGAAGGACGCTGAATGTAAAAATGTACACTTAGCGTGGGGCCATGATTGCAGCCAGAGGTTTCTAGCACAGCATAGTCATCTGTGGGATCTACTTTGTCTTCCACTATAGCACCCACTCTACCTTTTGCATCTCGTAACAAGGCATCTGTGATGCTTCCCTGTCTGACGATGGTCTGATGTTCTGTTTTAAAATAAAATTCTATTAAAGCAGTATTAACAGTGATGAACACTTTATTAATCAAATGCAAACAGAAAGAACATGGGTAAGCTGTAATTAAATTTTCTGTTGTCACTCCCTGTATGTCATTTGACTTTTGGTTTCAAGTGAAAGGAACAATAATGCATACCCCTGCTTCTCGTTTTTAGGTTAGAAAAATCATCTCTAGACTTGCCTGATAATATACACCACAAAGTAAATCTTGTATTGGAGAATCCAGCTCAGTTTTCTGATGATGTGAGATTATTTTTAATTAAAGTGTTGTTAGTGTTGGTTTTTTTTCTTTTCCCCAGTGAAAAGGAGTTAATTGACCTCTTAAACTCCATGAAGACAATTTCTCTTCAGGTCAAGAGATACTGTTCTGAGAACTGAGTGAAGGAGATGGAGAATATTTTAGTATTCTCGCTCACAACATAAGTCAACTGAGGATAATTGCAGTCTTTTATTTCTGTGGGTCTTTATCCACATCCTCTTGTGAACAGTGGAAGCGCGTGTGTGTAGGAAGAATATTTATGATGAAAAAAGATGATGATAAGTCTAAGGCATAGAAGTTCATTTTTAGTGTAGATAGCAGTGGAAGCTTCACTGTTCATTTGATCATCTCACTTGTACAATCTTTCTGGCAGATTCATTAAAGTATAATGAAAATATGGGAAAGGTTTGCAGTCCGCATCATAATACTACTCTAATAACAGCTGATAGGGGAGTAGGTTTATTTCTCATTCATTTCAGTAAAAATACGGTGGTTCTATCAAAGTACATCAGTTCATGTTCAGTATTGATTTCTTCTGCTGTCTTTCCAGCTTGCTGTATTCAACTTCGCCTATGCTACTGATATAACTCAGTTTCGACAGCTCCACCTAGATGACATCCGCAGGTCTTTCTTCTTTGTATCCTTTTCCCAGTTGCTGTGTTCCAAGGAAAAGATGGGTTTGTTTCAGAAGGCCTCACAATCAAAATTTGTAGCCTGGTAGCCACTGGAGCAGCTGGTGATGATGATTTGACTCATGTTGCTCAGAAGATAATGGTCTTATACATTTATGGGTTTTGATAAAGCAGTAAAAGATTCAGTACGAACTGCACTGTTTTGGAATCTGGCTCCTTGGCCACTTTGAAAGGTTTGGTCTCTTGAGGTAAACTTTCTTCTAAGGAGTCCTGTTTTTCAGTTTAATTTTGTTTTAATACATTTTGGCAGGAGGGAACTCATTCAAGCTTCACAAATCAGTTGGAAAAGGTGATACTGAAGTTATTCTCGTTTTCTCATTTTTAGAGTACGGCAGTGTGTTAGGAAGAAAATGTTAGGGGGCAGGAATTGGCCATGGCCAGGCAGATGAGAAGGAATTTTCCTGCAGACTCTTAGTGAAATGTGTTCCCAGAATCCGGCCTAGGATTCTTTATACCCACGTGGTTTCTGCTGTTAGAAATCATATGGGCTTGGGAGGAAAGAGCTGTTTGTTCACAAATATAGCCGTTACTTTGCATTACTGTAACTGAAACTACAGCTGATTTTATTTTTTTTAATATTGTACAGACTTCATAAGGTTGGCATTTTTCTCTTCCATCATGGGACTGCAGTTAAGTGAGAGGTATTTGGCAGCAAGGGTGATGGGTATGCAAGTGAGAGAGAAATTACGAGCCAGTCTAGAACATACGGGTTTCTAGTGCAGGTGGAATATCATAGCTGGAGCTGGGGAGGGAGTTGTCTCAATACTGGCTACTGCAAAAACAGGCTTTATAGTTCATAGAATCACGAAATCTGAGAGGGTGGATCACAGCTGCAAAGTCTATGCTGTTGGAATTTGGGACAACGCTCTTGGGCATTGGGAACCTGCAGTGGAGGAAGTGTGACAGATACCTCATTACGAAGGCAGTTCAGTGCTAAGGAAGGAGGCAAAACAATTTGCTAGGTGTTGAACATTTGTGTTTGCTTTAGAGTATACCTGAAAAGCGGCTGAGACACCTTGCAGTAAATTTATCAATTTTATTTGCTATTTTAACAAAAGGTAAGTTAACTTTTAGTTAAAGCTGCTGCTGTCTGTCAGATGCTAAAAATTAGCCAAAACAAAAATCAAACAATCCAATAGTATTTTTTTAAAGCTCCAGCATAGTAATACTTTAATCTAACACTTGAATGTAGCTCTACTTTAATCTCATCTTAGTCTAAAACATTTTAATATATTTTGTTCGGATCCTGAAAAAATACACAATTTGCAGGTCGTCTTTGCAGAAAACAGGTATGATACACACCTGCTCAAAAGATGTGGCTTTTTTAATTTAGATGCTGTTCAATGTTTAGAAATAGTGGTATTGGAAGAGAAACCTTTTCTACTAGAGCAGTCACATTGCAACTACAACCCTGTGAGCTGTACGTCTTGATTGTCTCAAGGTTCCTATATAGGGCCCAAAAGTCAGCAAGTGCTGAGGGACCTTATAGCCTCATCTTCCAGAATATGATCCAGGTTGCTTATGCTTAGCATTTTGATTAGACCTATGTGCTACTGGTGGTTTTTTTGTTTTATTGCAGAACTGTTGTTCTTATAAATCTTAACTGGCAGAACTGCACGGTGCTGTTGGACTGCTGTGTTACTAAACTTGAAATGATGTGATACTCTTGGGAAGCATAATTTCTTTAGTTATGCTGATCTAATCCTTCCAAAACATTGCATGCAGAATCCCAACGATTCTGCTGAACAGTTGGTAGTAAATTGTTTATGCAGAGACTTAAATGATCCAGGGCAGGAGCTACGTAACAGGAATGGAAAGACCAGGGGGAGCTCTGGCAGCAGCAGCCGTTCTCACTGACTAACCTTCTGCCTGATGCAAAAAAGCATTTAAAACCCATTCTTCTGCTGGAGAGATGTGAGCTATAACGGGCCCCAGTGAGCTCAGGAGGTAGAAAAATATCTTTCGTGGACTCACACAGCCGCAAGTGTTATACCTAGATGAAAAAGGTAGGGTTTATAAAAAAGCTATACGGATACTGCACGAGTCGTCCTCCCTCCCTCAAGTAAGAAAAAAACTGAGTCCTGTGTTGCAATGGATAGACTCAGCACAACCTTTGGACAATATGTGAGGGATAGCATAGGAACCTTTAGTCTTGTTTCGTAGCCAACTACCTCTTCCACAGTCCATTCCACAATAAAGCCATCTCCTTTGGTCTGCACTACACGTGCATATGTCATTACTGTCTGCAAAAGCAGGTGTGTTTGAATGTGCATTTGGGATTGCGGTCCAGGGATGTTCCTATCTTGCCAGGTAGGTGCCCAGAAAAAACAAGCTGCAGCTTTCTGGCAGAGGTCTCAAGACCAGCTCTAAAATGTTAGCCAGGCAGTCCCTGTCTTTTAAAATTGACATAGTCATGTGTGAAATCTTGGGTAGAGCGAGGCAATACCTCGGATTTCTTAATGTGCTGCAAAGCTGTAATAGTGGGTCAGCTTCTTCTAGTTTCATGGTAGGATTTTGAAAGTAAATTAGAATGCAGGGGGGAAAATGCTGGTTTTGTTTTACTGCAGCCATTTCTTCATTGTATTTTCCTTAAGTACGCATAGGTTTTCTTCATAGTGACAGCCTTTTTTGGCACTGGAAACATAGCGTCTGTTAACAGGTAGGTTTTATTCATTGATTTTAGACACAGGGTACAAAAAATTCTTCCTGCAGTTGACATAATAAATTTAAATTTGGTTAGCAAAATCAGGGCAGTAGGATTAAAGCAATAGTCAGTGGAATAATGATAACCATTTATTTCATTTCTGCTCTCTGTAACATGTTCCCTAAGAGCCTAAGCTTGTTGGTTATGAGGTCGTCTCAATTTCCATTAGATATTATTGGCAGCACGAGCAGAGAGAGCTCGGCTGCTCACCAACAGCATGGCACCTTGGAAGACACAAGCAGAGAAAAGTTGTAGAGAAAGGAAGATGAGGTAGGCTGTCCTTGCTGATTTAATATTTGAGCAAGAAAGGAGAAAGTTGGAAGCCTTGTTTAAAAATGCATATATGCACAGTGTGTTACAGGAGTAACTAAATGCTCTGGGTTTTGATGGAAAATGCCATTTTGAGGATATGTTGTAATATTTTTTCTGTGTTTTTCTAGTTTTGATCCTGCTTCTGTCTATTGTTTCTTGACTGCGTTCAGTCCCTTCATGATGGGAGGCTTGCTTGTGCTAAAGGTTAGTAATCTTACCGTAGTGAAATTTTCTCAGAGAACAGTTTCATAAATAATGTACCATGTACATGGTTGTTACTTTGCAATTCACAAAAACATATATGTATTTGAGCTTTATTAGCCTTCTTAACCATGTGTGAAGCTTTCGGCCTTTGTAGTGTTTCTAGAGATGGATCCTTCTGTTCCCAAAAGAGAAGCTAAAGTGCATGGAAGTATAATTTAACTGTGTTAGATCGTTTATTGTATTAAAGTGGAAAGTTTAAACATTGAAAAGACTTAAATTATTTGAAAAACTATAGGCTTTCCCTGTAGTATAGTATCTACAGAAACATTGAGGATCTATATATTTTATTAGCTCTGTCTACATTACATTAAGTACAGGCTTTGAGTGCTCTACTGATTAGGTTGTCATTTTACAAGGAATATTGGTTTTTATATTTTTTTAATAGTTTATCAAAAATTGGATTGCGCTTGTTTTCAGGCAAGGTGTGGGAGCTCTTTTCTAATATTTGAGTAAAGGATCTGCCAGAGGGGGAAAGAGGCAAACAGAGAGGGAGGCATGGAATTTATGGGTTCTTGCTAAAATAATCAGTGTTTCCTGCCTCTGCCTTTCTGCTGCTTCTGTCCCAGAGAAAGCAGACTTAAGTTACAGGTATACTGCGTGTTATACTGCAGGACATAAGTCAATAATGCAAACCTTCTGGATTTGAAAGAACAGATTTTAGCAATGGTTTACACTACTACCTTAGGATTGCAAGTCAACTTTGGGAAGAGCAAAAGGCAACTTTCATGTTTCTAACTCGTTTGGTTTATCCTTATTTTACTGAACTGTTTACATTTGCTTGACTTGGCTTTGGAGGGGCAGTGTGATCAGTGACTCGGCCTTACAGAACACATTCTGTATTCACTTTTTTTTTTTTTCTGGTTGAGTTGAGATTGTCCTATTATGCTTAGAGCTCTTCAGCCTGTCACATGAGATATTGGACCTGAATAGTTCTGTCTTCTAGCCTTGCTGAAGTATTTATCACTAGTGCTAAAATGGATAAATGAAGTGAGGATCATTAATGTGTTTTAATTATAGTTTTCCATATTGCCTCATGGCTTATTTCACTGCAGTTCAGCTATGACCATGGAAGGGGTTTTTTATTCATTTACTAAATGTGCTTCCTGGAAAATTAGTTTCTACCCTTTCTTGCCAGTATTTTATTTTTGTAATATGCACATTCCGTGATAACTTCAAAAGCAGGAAAATGTTTCCACAGCCTACCAGGTTGTTTTGTAAATATGGCTATAAACCAAAACATAGCTTGTGTTTTAAACAGGTTGTAATCCCGTTTGTGCTGGTATCGTGTGCTTTTGAAGCTGTTCAAGTCACAACACAACTGTCTTCTAAGAGGTACAGTAAGTACTATATTTTTTTGTATTAGTAAGGTTTTCAAATCTATTTTGAAAGATTTCAGAATTGCCAAATCTCAATCTAAATTTAAAAAAAAACCCACAATAGATCACATTGTTACCTTTATTTGTTATTATGGTTTGGGTTTTTGTTCAGTGATTTTGCAAGCTCAGGAATTCTTTTCTTATTGATAAATGAGTATAAATGAAAGTGTTGGCCTTGTCTGAAACAATCAGATATTTAATATTCTTTGTTGACAATACACAGAAGGAGCAATTCTCCCCCATAATGTGGAAAAATGAGCAGAATTTGAAGTCTGGGTTTTGTTTTATATTGCATCTCTGCCTATAGTACAATATTTTAAAAATAACCCGTTCATAATGTAACTGATTTACAGCTTTGTAGCACTGACCTCACCACAAATAGCATTTAAAAAAAAAAAGGCGGCTATATGCCCTTCCATCGCAGTTCAGTGCTTCCCAAGTGTGTTCAGTTTTACATATTTTTTTGTAGTAAGGCTGGATGACTGCCAGTCCTTTCTCCATCTCTAAAGACTTTTCAGAGGGAGCGTGAGGCAGGTGCCCAGCCTCGTAGAGTGCTGTAGCCAGACTTGAACTACCCTCACTCTTCTCATGGTATCAAGATTTTTTCTTTTCGTTTTCTTTTTTTTCTTTTTAACTGTTAGCCCTCCCTACCCCTTTCACCGCACCCAGTGCACATGACTGAATCCTCTGCTCATCAGGTGGAATTATGAATGGTTGCTGTGACGGAGGAGGTCCCTGTCAGACACGTGGTTTTGAGTTTGTCACCGTGGGATGTTGTGTGGGGTTGACCGAAAGTCTCGCTGGACAGTGGCAGGGGGGCCACAGGGACTCCGCCCTGCATATTGCTCAGCTGAGCAGGAGGACGCTGCCCTTGCTCAGTGTGATGCCCTCTGTCTTTCTGTTTTCATTCTGCTTGTGCCTTGCCTTTTGTCTCCTTATACGGTGCCAGCCAGTACTAACAAGGGACGCGGCAGCCCGAAATCTGACTTCTTGTTGGACAGGAAGCACAAGGCTCACCATCCCTTTTACCTTCTCTGCCTTAGCTGTGTGTGCAGCGTACTTGGGCTGTCCCTGGACCCCCAAGGAAGGGTATTTGTCCTCCTCACTAAGGGTTATACAGAAGCAGGGCTGCGTTGAGGAATCGGGGTTGCTCAGAAGACTGGCTAGCGATTTATATTTCTAGGGCTCAGGCATCATAAAGGTCAGCATTTCCTAATGCTTTCCTTGGCAACAGCAGTGATATTGCGAACTTTTATGGAATTTGCATCTGAGTGTGTGAGAGGGGAAATAGCATCAAGTTAAAGCAGGGGACATGAGGACGTCTGTGCTGCTTTATGAGGCTGTGGTTGTAACTCCAGCTGGTATTTGTGCCAGCCTCATTTAGCTGTGCTCAGGTAACAATAGCAGCAATGCTGCCACAGCGTCAGCCTGGGAATAGGGCAGAAACCACAAGATGTGCCCAGGATCCCTAGAGAGGAGGTGCTCTGATTGTCAGAGCATCCTGAAGTCTGTGCTGCACTCTTTATTGCTCTTGCTGCCCCTGCTAGAGAAATTAAACCTTCACAGGGGACTATCTTGTCTTTGCAGTGTATAAATGCGTCCTGAAATTAGTGTTGTCCTTCTGTTGCGAAAGGCTTCCTGCGGTTCAGATGGGCGAAAAGTAGATTTTTGTGATTTGGACAAATTGCTCCTAAACTTACAGATTAAATTTACAGATTAAAGTGGTTTGGTTTTGGTTTTTCTGTTCATGGGGAATGTTCTGTCAGAATATGTTCTTGGAGCTTGCCTGTGAAAACAGCCCTCTAGTTGGGTGCCTCCTAGGCACTGCAAGATTGCAACATCTGAGCCATAGGTAAATGGAGAAAATCCTTTCAGTGCGTCTGAGATACAGTTGGTTTGTTGCATCCTTATTTACTAATGAAGCATAGCTGATGTAGGTGGTATCAGAAACTTCCTCATCAGGAGGCATTGGTATGGTTGTTCCTGGACTACATGCTCGTGCAACGCCGCAGCAGGATGTTTTCCCCCCAAAAAAATCTTTGTGGATTTATAATGGTCGTACTGATAAATTAACTGTATTCTAGTTAAAGATTTTTCTGTTAATGGGTCAGCTGTTTGCAACATTGCTTCAGTGTCATTAGCTTAGAAACTAGTTTTAACCAGTTATAGCAATTGCTTTCATGTAATTTAGGATTTACATAGTTTAATGAAAAGATGATTAAGCTCTGCATGCTCCCTTCTGGTTCCTTTTACTGACCACAGCCTGCTTTCCAGAAGTAACCTGCCACCTGACAGAGAGGCCCATGGGTTTGGGAGCACACCACCAAAATGCTGGGTGTTCCCAAAGCAGCTTATGGACACCCGGAGATCTGGAAGGGGGGCGAGCACCTCCTTTAGCAGCCTCCTACCCAGCAGGGTGGTTGTCAAGATAGGACTGATCGGCTCAGGTCAAACAGCCTGTCTGCCTAGACCAAGCAGCTTTGCTCACTCTTGAATCCATCTGGAAGCTTCTAAATCAGCTTTATTTTGCCTAACCGGCTCGTGAGCTCCCTGCATCAGGAGTGGGCAGGTGCTGTTTGTAAGATGCTCTTGTTCTCCAAAAAATGACTTCATGTTAGGTTTCTCTGTTGCAAAATCAAAACTCTGTTAATGTGAAAATGTCTTTTTCAAGCAGGGTGGGATTACAAATGCCAGATGTCCTAGTCATATATTTTAACTGTTCTCTAATACACTGAAATGTTTGTGAGTGATTTGAAAGACAAGTGCAAGAAATCATATCTTATTTTAATTTCTTTATGGGGATTTAATAAGCTTTGTAACATCTGTGGCTATAAATAAAGGTTGATGGTCTGGTTTTTGGTTTTGTTTTTTTTTTCTTTGCAGCCTTTTCCTCATTGTTCTTGTGATTTCAGACATTATGGCTTTGGTAAGTTGTTGTTGCATATTCTCTTCAAATAAGATCAAGAAGCAGAGGGTTCTCTAATTCCATCTAGAGAGATCTGAATTTGTTTCAGACTTCAAAGTTTTTGTAACTAGGGCAGTGAATTGGTGAAATCCTACCATAATTCAGAGATAAAACTCCAATCACCACTCTTTGAATTTCATGCAATTGATGCTTCTGAAGAAGCAATATTCTCATAGTACTAAGAGACAAAAATGAAGTAATAAGTTATCATTCTGAGTTTCTCATGTGCTTTCCAATCAAATTCCTAGGAAGAATTTAAATAAGAATATCAGTTGTAGCTCTGTGCAGGGCTCAGTTGATTTTTCAGGAATTTTGAACCTTTTGCTCACCCCACCTTCCCTTGAAAAAGAGAAGAAAAGGAGAAATGTGTTACCCGCCAGTTCTGTTGGAGTTGTCAGAATCGAGGAGATCAGCAACATCTGAAAAGACATTTTGTGCTCTTTGTAATAAGCTGTTAGGGAATGCTATCTTCAGAAAGCTTGCGTCCACAGACCAAGCTAGCTAAAACAACCCAAAGTTGAACAATACCCCAACGTAATTCTTGCAGATGTTTTCGTTGCCCCCTCAAATTGTCTTCAACCCAGCCAGCAGTGCCACTGGGTATCAGAAGGCAAACAGAAACCTATTCAAAGCAGGAGGTAGAGCTGGTGTTCTCACTTCATACACGCTGTTTTAGTTTTGTCCCTTTGGAGTAAGCATTCCTGATGTGATTTTCTTGTACAGTGTGATCTGTGGATCTTACCTCATAGGAAAAACAGTAAGTAAAAAACCAAATAATGACTAATTTGTCTGTAGAGTGAGAAATGGAGAAGGTATAGTTTTGTGTAGTTTTGAATAAACCTGTATCACTCATCTGATTTTTGATAACTTCCACAGGAAAAGGATTAAAATACCAGTAAAGCACACTAATAGCATTTCACTAATAAAATCAGTTTAACTAGACCAACAGAAGAGTAGAGGCATGTACTGTTGTGTAGCAAGCACCAATATACCCAGGTCTTACATCTCACGTATTCTCCTGTTTTGGTCTAACTATTTTAAAACAATTAGTAAAGTATACAAAGCAAAATATTACCAAAGAGGTTTGATATGCAGGAGCTGTGTTGAGAAATGAGAAAGTTGTCAGGAAAAAAAAAAAAAAAATGAAAGAGAACTGGCTTATGGCCTTGAATCAATGTAGCCACCAGCTAGAATTTGCAGGGTTCACTAACAGACAAGTTCTGTCTTTTCTCCAAACATTATTCCCATTTTACAGGTGGGGAACTGCCAGAGTTGCCCAAAGAAATTTGTGGTGGAATTCCGTGAAAACAATATGGAGCCTCCTCTTTGGCACTAGGCATTATTTGGGATCCCGTTATTTCAAATAATAAGGTGGTTTGGCTTTTCTTATTGAAAAAGTTCTCTGCTGGTAATCTTATGTTTCTTGCCAGCCCAGCCTGACAGAACTTTAGTCCATCTTTAGCTATTTGTGTTTGATACCATGTTAAATCTATTTCTGGCTCCTAGACTATTCCTTACTTTGGTCCAGATGAGCAGTCCTGGAAAGGTCTTGCCCTTGTTCTACTTGAAGAATTAGAAACTTGGAGTAAACAGCCTGAAAACATGGTTTTTAATTTTGTGTTTCAAATTGTGCAATGTTGATGTACTAATCAAAGTTGGTTTATTTCCTAGCATTTTTTCTTTTTGGTTAAAGATTATGGAAGTTGGCTGGATATTGGAACAAGGTACAGTATTTTTTTGCCTCCATTGCATTTTTAAAAGGCTCATAGGTTAATACTGTTGTTTATCTACTCAGAACTCGTGTAATTTTTTCCAATTACTCTCCTTCATCAAATGCCTCAGTGATATTCCCCATACTTAAAACGCATGTGCAGATGTCTATGCACACATGTATACATGCGCATATATATCCCAAGCTAAAACTTGTGTCTTAAAATCTGTGCCAGAGCAACATGGAGTAAGTAATGAATCTAGCATGGGAAGAAATACAGTTAGTAGGATTCGTTTGATTTCTAAAGAACAGTAATTACACAAAAAATATTTTAATTACTGTTTTGCATTTTAATTAGTTGTAACCACTGTAAAAATAACAATTTCACAAAATTGTTAATTGTCTTGAATCTAGTTAAGCGTCCATATACAGTCCCCTGTGAATTAATGAACCTTGTGCAAATATGTTGTTGACTACCAAGACCCATACATTTATCCTCCCCCTAGTTGGGGAAGAGCAGATCTGTAGCATTTAAACATAGAAATCACAGCTAAAATGAGAGAATTGGTTTTGCATTATGAGTCGTACTAGCCTCCACAGCATACATCATGGGGTAGGCTTTCAGCTGTTCGGTCTTATTTGTGAATAGTCCAGAAGGAACAAATACAAGGAATACACATTTCAGATTTACCTTCCCTGAGTTGTGGAAATAGATAATATGCTGTAATAAGCTTAGCAGGGAATGTGTTGTTAATAATCCAGCCAATCTGGTCACTTGACACTTATTTAAACAGAAGTTGAATAGTGAACCATTGTTAATATTCTGTACAATCTACATGTACCCTGTGCTGTGCTTTGAGCCCCAATGTTCCCTCCAGAGCATGCATGCATGTACACACACGCGCGCACACGTGTTCTGCCCATTTTCTCTGGAGGTTCAAATTCCTGCTTGTCGCTCCCTTTTGAAGGTTCCTAATGGTAGGAGGAACAGTTAGGTCGCTAGTAGTGGAAACGGTGCTTTAACATCACACTTCCTTGCTATGGTCAGTTTATGGTAAATCAGATGGCCTCGTCCTTTGGTTTGAATTCCTATGCAGATTAATAAGAGTATTAAAGACATCAGAAAAGCTCTGTTCTGCTGGGCAAGAAGCTTTCCAATTGGGACTTAGCAAGCAAAAATATAAATTGTTACAAATACCCCAAAACTTCCTCTCTGATACACAGTCTTCATAGCGTAGATTGGCAATGCTGATAGATTGTTGGATCCATTTCAGCTGGAAGTTTGCCTTATCCCAAAGAGTTTAGGGGAGCTCGTTATGCACAACCGTAATTCTGCCTCTCCGCGTGTGTGTTTTGAGCACTGAAGAAAGCACTGAAAAAGTCCTTTCAGAAGAGTAATTTGTGATTAAATTTTAACATGGTAATGCATAATGCTCAGGCAGCCTTAAATTTGTCATTACTTCACTTTTGAGTGCTTGGCTTGGCCACCTACATTATTTTATTGTAGTCTCTTTATATATGTTTTACATGTATGTGTGTATATGCATGTAAGATTAAAACGTCTAGGTTGCATAAGAAAAGAGGCGTGGAGCTGAAGTGGTCCTTCTTTTACCTTTATGTATGTGTGTATATGCATGTAAGATTAAAATGTCTAGGTTGCATAAGAAAAGAGGCGAGGCCATAGGCGTGGAGCTGAAGTGGTCCTTCTTTTACCTTGCATGAGCAATATTTTGGCACCTGAACGTTCTCCTCTGAGCAGATTTCTAATGTGTGATCCTCAAGCTTCAAGCTTGGCAAAATTAGCAGGCAACAGCAGAAGATTTGTTGTTGTTATTGTTGTTTATTCCTGAAAGGGAAGATGAGTTTCACGGGGTTTGGGGCAATTCCCAAAACCGGTGAGAGAGAGATACTAACATGGCTCTTTCCTGTCCTCCTGTTACAACTGCAGCGACAGCTCTGTGGCATTCCCATTGCAGCGTTGCCTGTTGTTGCTTTGACAGCAAGATCTGAAAATATCCCATCTCAGTTGACGGTTTAGGTGTTGCCAAAATTTTCTTGAGAAGGCTGAGTCAGTTAAGGAAATGGCGGTTCTTTTTTCTCCAGCTGTTTGTATCTCAACAAAACCTGTGTAAGATTTCATGGAACAAAGAATAGGAGCACCCTTAGGGGCAGCTGCTCTCATCTATTTTTTTTGTGGCACTGATAGGAGGTGTGTGTGTGTGTACGCACGCAATTATCAGGGTTCATTTTATATTACTAGTTATGACATCATTGAAATCACAAGTGGAAAAGCAGCAATTTAATTGCCCAGTGAAGATTCATTCCTCTTTTCTGTCAGAGTCCAGTGGTATATGTGCTGCATTTGCAAAGCTTCTGATGTATATTTCTGGACCCATTCTATTTTGTGGTGATAGCTTCCTATGGATTTTCTAATTATCATGCTTCAAAACTTTTGTATGTCCTCTCTCTATTACTATGAATGTGCAAGTTCAGTAGGAAACCCTCATTAGGCAATACTTGAGTTTTTCAATACCAGTGCTCAGAAGTTTCATGTGTAAGAACTGGTTTTAAATCCCTTGCGATAAAAAGAAGGCCTTCACTGCTTTTTTTTATGGT